TGGTTTTTACTCTCCTAGGTTCTCTTTTTAAAGGATTTTCTACAAAATTCATATAACAAATGTTACATAAAACAACATGTTACCTTCAGTAAGTTGCAGATGCATTGGTTTTACAGATCGTAAACGATATTCTGAGGGTGTTGAAGGGAAATATTGCACTGAGACAGAACACCTTGTTATTGGATATTGGAGTAGGAGTATCATCAGTTCCATTGTACCTAGCCTCCTTGCCATGATATGTTTTCGAAGTTCATCAGTTTCATCAATATCAAATAATTCAGAATGCTCAGATTTTGTGACATATTTTGTGATGTATCTTGCAAACCCAGTGGAAGTTACATATTGGAAATTAATGTGGTCATCCCATATCAATAAGGTTTCTGGGTGGTATGGAACAACCATTCTATCCTCATTTTTTGTATGACGATATATGTAATGTAATGAATAAGGTGAGCAATATGTTACATTTGATAATGGTTGAGGGAATCCTTTGGAGCATGGCTCTCCATTTGGCCCTTGACCTCCACACATTTGATTACAATGGTGTATTTGAAATTTAATGACCAATTCATGTAACTCCTTTTCTGTAACAGGGTCAGGGACATCAGCACAGATTGTATTCAAAGAGATCAATTCACTTGTCTTCCTTTCTGTGTAAGCAAAGCCATGTGTGTGAATTGTCCCACGATTTTGGAACTCATCCCTTTCAAAGTAATGTTTCCATTTTCCCCATTTTACTAATTCAGGATTTTTCCATAATTTATTTCTGATGTTTGTTAATCTATTTCAATAGTGCAACAGACGATTGCTTGGCAAAGTGTCTCCATTGTCAGTACAGCTCAGGATATGATGAAAGTGAGGCCATTTGCCTTCAGCCATAGTCAAAGTGTAAAAGATTTGGGGTAATCCATAGGCACTGATCATTGTGTTCACCTGGAGTTGTTTTTTTTTGAAGAAGGGGGCTGCAGTCCTCAGGTTTGAAGGCAGTGTTATAGTTTTTAATTCATCTAGGATGCTCCAGCTATTATATGAACTTCTAGCAATCAAATCAACCCTTGTTGGATGATGCTCCCTGTTAACATTTTGAGTGGCTAGAATACAGTGTTGATTTTGAAAGTTACGCTTTTTTTCAAGCATCAGGTATGACCAGTGAGGCCAGTACCAATGTAGACGGAATTGAGGATCAGGGCAAAGCATTTGTATTTTTATATACTTTCCATAGCTGTCCACCAAGGACTGGAGACCTAGAAATTTCTTAATGTACTCATAGTGCCCTTTTCCATTGGGGAAAAGGTCAGGAAACATCAATGCTTCCAGATCAGGATTTCCAAATAAGATTGGAAGTTTGTCATTGTTGTATTCAATTGACCCTGCTATCAACCTATTATAGTTTGCATCCTCATTGTGTATTTCTGGAGGAAAGGAATCATTGGGCACAACCAAATCAGGTGGACGAAGTGTTTCATCTGGAAGTCTGCTGTGATAAACATTGAAAGTTTGTTCATTGTCATCAATTGTTTGGCGGGCCAATGGCAGTTGAATGGGCACAGGATCTCCTGGTGAAGGGTTGGAAATATTGGATGCATACTTCCTCAGAAGAGAGTTGTTGTCTTTAAGCCACCTGGATGCACATATCAATGATTCATGAAACCACCTTGAAGGCTCATTAACATTAAGGAAAGCACCAACCATCCCAGAGTAAAGTTCTAAGGCACGATAATTATGTGTTATCCCAATTGCACCTTCCAAGTGCCTATAATTTGTGTAAGAGTTTGATCCAGAAGCACGCCCCAATGAACAATTCATGTGAACTGGAGAGAGGTATCTTCGATGAGCCATAGGAACATTCTTGATTTCATCAGGGATTTTTCTCAACAATGGTGCATATCTACGAGTCCTTGGATTTTTGCATCCATTGCAAACAGCAACCTGAGTGATGTTTCTATTGTTCAGACGTACATATAGGGATATTTCAGGAAAGGCCACTGTCAATTTATATGATTCTTCTGGATCATATGTTAACCATTTGACTGAAAGTTTTGGCATAAGCATCGAACAATAAGCACAAGGAATATTTGGATAGTCATAAAGTATGTCATCTTTGAATTTTTTTGATAAAAGTTGGAGCATTGGGGAAGGAGTCCAAGGCAAGATATGTCTGAGGTCTTGATCATTGGCATCACAGTTACCATCAGTGAAGTCATTGTTATTGCTGACATTACCAACATCATTATGACTTGCTGGAGCATTTGAAAGCTTTTGATTGATTTCATTATGATGGACATATGAATTCAAAAAGGAATAGTCTGTTTTAAATCTTTTAGAGGTGTCAGAACTTTCAACATCCTCTGAGGTGTAATTCAAGAATTGAATGTGTTGCAAATTGTGTTTGGACATGATTTTAATTTTTTAATTAAAATTTAAGGTGGGGATTTTTAATTTTTTAATTTTTTTTTCAAATTCAAAAAAGAGAGAAAAAAGAAAACGACTTTCTTAAATAGTTCTCTTTGCTTTACTGATTTGGCATTGCACAAACAATTGATGATTCACTTATATTGTTTTTAGAGCAACAATTAATAATATCAATTGTGGAATGAATTCACTTTCATTTATTTATTTATTTATTTATTTATTTATACTTAATTAATACTAATATGATGTTTTCAATTTTTTTCAAAAAAAGGATTAAGTTGCAAGCAGCAAGTAGTAAGCAGTTTTTACATTTATCTTTATCTTTCACTTTTTAAATCAAGATAATATTCATTATTAATATTATTATAATTAATATATTTCATTAATTCAAAAAAAATACATGTATAAGTATAAAAAAAAAAAAATAATAAATATATAATATATTTTGATTGTTTATTATTCATCTAGGATATCTTTGCTCATGTTATCATAAGCTTTTTCCTTACCTTTGGCATTGGTGGTATCTGTGGCAGTCGAAGCGGCTGGAGAGGAGCTTGTAGGAACAGAAATGGTGGTTGAGTAAGTTGAAGAAGTTGTTGGAGAAGTTGAAGAGGAGGTTGAAGGAGCAACATGCTTCCTTTTCTTGTTCACTTTTTCAAACTTTTTTCAATTAATTCTAGTTCTTTCTCTTCATCATCATGATTTTTATTGTTGTCTTTGTTCATCTTGGGCTCATTTGGTATCAGGTTCCATTCTATCTCCTTTGCTGCTAGGTGTTGCTTGTTTGTTTTACTGATCCTCAGCTTCCCAAGAACTGAAATTATCGACCTGCCCAGATTGTTTTTAATTGTCTTATATCTCTTGTTTTCATCAACATATGTCACATAAATTTCGGAATTGATGTTTTTGTTCTTTGACATCGGGTTATATGGCTTCCTGTTTAGGACAAAATTTCCGCCTGTCTCGTTTTCAACAAAAAAACCATTGTTCGCGACACCAGTGAAAATAATCAATGGATCTTGGTGGGGAAGGTCTTCCTCACCTTCACCATCTTTGTCAACCATGATTGTTTGGTTTAGAGTAACCTATACATATGTATAATCAAGAAGAGTTAATCAAAAAATTTTCAATTCTAGACATAGATAGTAATAATAGGGGAAAACTGCACATACATATTCGATTCCCTCTTCCATAACATATATCCCGACCAGGACAACAATTGAATGCTTGGAAAATTCAACACATTGTTCGCCTTATCATAATACCCTTTGAAGCTAATTTCTCTAAAAATGTTGTCATTTCTATAAAGAGCAGTTCCACTGATTGTTCCCTCAGTGGAAGTTACATGTTTAATGAAACAATTGGCAACAAAAATAGAACACATGTTATTTTATTATTTTAATTTTTTTTAATCATTATTTGTTATTTATTGTTTTTATTATTATTTGTTTTGTTTATTTTAACGATTTATTTATTTTTTACAATTTACGATTCATACTCTACCGCGATTTTTTAAATTGACAAGGATTTCCTTTGCCACTTCAAAAAGGGCATGGTTGTTAAATAATGAATCAAATTTTCGAATTGTTGCATTTCTCTTCTTCACAATAAGCAACAGGAGAACCTTTTCGAAGAAAGCTTCATTCAATTCCTTCAACAATAACGTTTTTTTTTTCACATTTCAAAAAGGCGCGGTTTGATGTTTTAATTGAATTAAAAATTGAATTAATTCCGAATCGTTACTCACACTTTCAAAAAAGGCATGGTCGTTTTTAATATTAGAAAAGTAATAATAGAATTAATTTCCGAATTGTTACGTTTTTTTCTTCACACTTTCGAAAAAGGCATGGTCGTTTTTATTATTAGAAATAATATTTTAATAAAACAATTTCCCAAATTGTTACATTTTGCAAAAAAAACTATTGATTTTAAATAATTTTTTTTCAAATAATAAATGAATTAAATTGTTTTTTTAGTGGCGATGCTAATACTAAATCAATAATGGATTAATTTCTTGCTGGTATTTTTAGTAGCAAGAGATGATCGTTTTCAAAAAAAGCTTAATTAATTTTCTTTAACAACACATTTTTGGAAAAGGCTCGATTTTAATCCAGTGATTTTTTTTTCATATTTTTTTTTTTTTTTTACTTATTATAAATACAACCTCTGAACGTTTTAAAAAAAATTGGGAGAGTGATCATGATCAAAAGATTTATACAACGCAATCAATTTTGTGAAACAAAAATTTTCCTTTTCTTTCGAAAATTTCTAAAGAGAGATAGTATCGTTGCCAATTCTTTCTAAATATTACCAAAATATTGCCAATCTTTTCTAAATTGTTACAAAGTATGTTGCACAGATTTGATAGAGTTAAATTAATATTTCAAGTTTTTTAGTAATACCATATGTGTTGAACAATTCTACAAATTTGGCAGAAAAAATACTAATGTGTAACGTGATACGTTCCAATTCTGCCAACTGAATTTTTAACACTGTTGTAATTCTTTGTGACATAATAATAATGTTACATATTATAATATATATTACTTACCAACATTCATTTTCCTTTTATTTAAAAAATTAGTAATCATAATATATTATTAAACGAAAATGGATCGTCAAAGTATATTAGCAACGTACGGCATCCCAATCACATCTCCTCCACGTTCAAATAGTAATAGTGGCAATAGTAAGAGCTCTCGAAGAACAGCCCAAGGTATTAACGTTGGAAATGTTGGACGTAATAGCAAGGGGTATTCGGTGACTGCCTTATACTCTATGGCTGCTGAACAAGATGTTGAAGTTCAAGATGAATTATCAAGAGGTATATATATATATATATTTGTTATCGTTTTCCTTTAATTTTATTTATTAATTTATTATCTTATTTTTAATTAATAATAAAGCACAAAAAAAATTGAGAGAATTGAAAAGTAAAATTTCCGTACAGTCTAAAAAAAATTTTATATTGGAAAGAGATGTTAGATACTTGGATTCTCGAATTGCATTATTAATTCAAAATCGTATGGCATTAGATGAGGTAATAATAATAATAGGCAAAGTAACTAGATTAATTACTTGGATTATAATTGATTTTTTTTTTACTTTTCTTATCACCAAATAGAAACAAGAAGTGGAAAGTTCGCTTTATGACACAGAGCCACTAGAAGGTACATTTCCAGATGATCGTAAACAACAGCAATATGGAAATCTTTTCTTCTTACTACAAACTGAACCAGGACATATCGCAACTTTATGCCGACTGGTCAGCATATCAGAGATTGACACTTTATTACAAACTGTGATGTTTACACTTTATGGTAATCAATATGAAAGCAGGGAAGAGCATTTATTGTTAACTATGTTTCAGGTAAATTATTATTGTTGTTATTATTACGATATATTATGCAATGTATTCACACATATTTATATTTACCATGTTCATTTAGTCGGTATTATCAGCACAATTTGAAACTACATTAGACTTTAATTCTTTACTTAGAGCAAATACGCCAGTATCACGTATGATGACCACTTATACTCGTCGAGGACCTGGACAAAGTTATTTAAAATCGGTATTATCGGAAAGAATTAATAATCTGATTGAACATAAAGAATTGAATTTGGAAATCAATCCACTTAAAGTTTATGAACAAATGATAAGAAAAATTGAAGATGATACTGGCCAACTGCCACCTAATTTACAAAGAAGTGTCACGCCGGATGTTGCTGCTGCAAATCCCGATGTACAAAAAATCATAGTACCTCGTTTAGACATGTTAATAGAAATTGCAAATGGATTTCTTACGACTATAATTCAATCTATTGATCAAGTACCCTATGGTATTCGTTGGATATGCAAACAAATTCGTTCATTAACAAAAGTAAGACAATAAATATATTTGTATATAATTGTGTGTGTACATGTATGTGTGTGTGTGTGTTAAGTAATGTGCATTTATTTAAATTTTAGCGAAAATATCCAGACGCAACAGAATTTGCAATATGTTCGTTGATTGGTGGGTTCTTCTTTCTAAGATTTGTGAATCCTGCAATAGTTACACCTCAAGCATATATGTTGGTGGATGGAATACCTGGAAATCATCCAAGAAGAACTTTAACCTTGGTAAGTTAACAAACTACATAAATGTACGTATTTACTTATGTATTTATTTTGATTAATATAATTGTTGTTTCTGCTTAGATTGCAAAAATGTTACAAAATCTTGCAAATAAACCAACATATTCGAAAGAAGAATATATGATAATGATCAATTCGTTCGTAGAACACAATAAACAAAGAATTAATAAATTTTTACTTGAATTATGTGAAGTTGGTGATTTTTATGAGAGTTTAGAGGTATGCACAAAGTGTGTATGTAAATATATATATATTAATACGTTACATAACTTAATATTATTAATATAATTAATATATAGATGGATCAATACATGGCACTTTCCAAAAAAGATTTAGTACTAAATATTACATTAAATGAAATATATAACACGCACTCACTATTATTACAGCATCAAAATGTTTTGGTAGTTTGATTTTTTTACTGAATTACTATCATAATTAATAACCATTTTACCAATAATAATAATGACCAATTATTTTAATTATATATAATTATGATCTTAGGCACCATCTGAAAAATCTCACCTGCGTATACTGTTAGATGAAATTGGTATAGCTCCTTCACAAGTACCTAGAAAAGAAAATAGAACCATGCAACTTCCATTATTTAGTCGATGGGAAACTCCAATACAAGGTAATTTTTGAAACATTATTATTATTTATATGTATATATGATTTATTTCTAATATAAACCTTTCCATACTCTCAATTACTCTATTTTTCGCCAGACATTGCATCAGCATTTGTATCAGACAATGTGACACAGAATGATATTCTTTATATGGAGACAAAATCAATATTTGTACAATTGATTAGATCTATGCCACGTATGGCGGAGAAACGGCCACTAAATTTATATTTGATTGCTGAGATAGCTGCCACATCAAAAGATGTATCTTTAGTACGTAAAGGTATAAAGGTGAAAGAAATGCTTTCGGAATTAGAAGAGGCGCGTGTAATTGATCGTAGAGATGGGTATCGACTTATGACTGAAGAGGTGGCAACTGAATTAGCTCATTTGGGCAATATTCGTGAGAAAGTCACCCAAGAAATTCAATCCCTGGAGGAAGTTTTTAAAACTATATGTGATCACAATAATTATTTGAGAAGTCAATTGGATAGTTATAAAGCATATTTGTTTAATGTGAGACAGCACTCATCAAAAGAGGCTCCTAGTGGTATAGGAACTAGTGTGGTGAAAGTTGGTAATAAAGAAAAGAAGCCACAGAAAGTTAAGGTGTTGGGACCTTATAAATTTACATATGCACAATTAGAAAGAGATGAAATTATTGTGGAAAACAATGTTCCCGAAAATCGGTAGGTGGTTTTGTTTGATTATGGTTGGTGGCGTTATTATGAATATGATTTAAGTGAAAAATAATATTAATACATATTTTACATATTTAAAAATTATAAAAATAAAAAGTCGTCAAGATATATATTTCAATATTACATCTCCGCTTCCAGGAACATTTATTATTGCGTTACATTATAAGGGTCGTGATGCTGCTATTTTAGAAATGGATCTTAAATTGGATGATTTACTGGAAAAAGTAAATTTTTAAAATTTAAATTTTATTATTTGGATTTTTTTAAATTTATTATTAATTATCATTAATTATTTCAATAACAGCAACAAGATAATGTCGTATCGCTTGATCTTGAATATGTTCAATTAAATGTGGGAAAGATTTTAAATCTTTTAAATAGAACTTTTTCGAAAAGAAAACATTGATTTATTTTCATCATCATCTTCATCATCATCATCATCATCATCATCATCATCATTATTTTTTTTGTTAATATTTTTTATTTATTTCTTATTTTGTATCTATATATAATATATATTTAATTAACTTAATATTAATTTTGTTTTATATAATTTAAAATACATTCATTTTTTATTTATTTATTTTTTAAAAAATCTAAAATTACAATTAAAAGTATTTTTATTCATATAATATAAATAAATAAAATTAAATAAATATTAATCAAATTTACCATATTTTTTTAATCTTCTTAATACATAATAATTAATTAAATATTTTAAATTGAGATAATTAATTAAATATTTTAAATTATAATATATGACATAGGGAGTTGGAGATGGTAAACAATCGTTATCATTATCATTATCATTATCAATATCACTGTTATAATAATAACTTGCAAAATATTTAGACTCATCAGTCATAATACCATCAATACCTAATTCGACACATTCTTTAAAAATTTTTGTTTTATTAATAGTCCAAGCAAATACTGGTTTGCCAAGTTTATGAGCGTATTCAATGAACTGTTTAGCTTCTTCGTCGTACAACGATGCAAACATTAAACTATATCCGTCAGCGTCTGAAAAATAATTTTTAGCTATAGATAAAGAAAATCCTATATGAATTATTGGTAATTGAGGTAATTGAGTTTTTGCTAATGTTAAAAATTTTGGATGCCAAATTCCCAATAACAATCTTTTTTTAAAATAATTTAAATCGTCATTATAACTTTTTAAAATTGTGGATAAAAGTAACATGATGCTTGGTGGATTGTCAATCTTTATATCTATTACTGCCCAAACTTTAGAATTCTCTGGTTTTATTAATAAATCTAGAAAATCTTGTAACCTAGCAATTTTACAATTTGGTGGTTCTTTTGTTGTTAAATATTCTAAATCACCATAATAGTTACACGTCGCCACTAAACCTTTACCTGTTGTTGTACGATCTAATTTTGAATCATGTAATATTATAATCTCATCATCTAATGTTTTACGAATATCTATAATGATTATGAATATTATGGATATTATTATTTTAAAATAAATAATAATAACAGATAGTGACATTGTAAATAATCAATAATAACCAAGTTCAATAGCTTCTATACCATCAGCAATCGCTTGTGTAAAAGATAAAATGGTGTTCTCCGGATATAATGCATTAGATCCTCTATGAGCTATTACATGTGGTCTGCCTACTGTTGCTGATAAACAGAAACTTGCACGATTTGAAATTCCTTCCATTACAATATATATATATATATATATATTAATGAATGAAAATAAATATATGAGAAAATAAAAATGGATGAATATGATAGTGAAAGTAAATATGTGGAATGTGTGTGCTAACCAAATTTAGTAATTATCGTTGGATTTTAATATATTAATATAGGAACGGGAAAACTTTATTGAATGTCACCGCCAAATTAAGCGCTTGATCATTCTAACACGAATCTCGAAAGTTGATTGTCGATTTTTTATAATTAAAAATAACCAAAAATGGGCTAGACAATAAACCACATGACGTATTTTTTCCTTATTTGGATTTAAATTTATACAGGAAAAATCTGGTCTGTCATATTAACCTTTCGATTAGGACGTAATTAAATATATATTTTAAGAATCCACACAACTTTTTACACTAGATTTTTTTCTTAAATATAGGAGAACTATTGGTATAAAACCCGTTTATTTATTTATTTTTTGTTTGATTCTATAATTACAAGTTAGTAATGGTAAACACTAGACCACTAGCTAATACTCTACCATGTTTGCATTTAAGATCTTGCAAAATGAATATTCAAAAAAATGGAATCTCATTGCTAAGTATTTATTCAAAGTATACTTTTACAAAATACAAAAAATAGGATAAGAGTTAGTGCAATGATCTTTTAAATGTAAATTATTTTTATTATATAAAATTCGGCATAGAATTTAATAACCATGAAGTAATCTGTTATATACAATAATAGGCGAGGGAATTCATTTATAAATTAATTTTATTTATTAATTTTATAATTTTAATAATAATAACAAGAAAGGAAAAAAAAGAAGACATAGAAAAAATCATTTATATGCAAAAGGTATTAATTTAACTTAATTTAACATGCATTGTTAATAATAATAGGAAAAAGAAGTCAAAGAGCAAGTCCTAGTTGAAGACTTACTCCTAGTACTTCATCTGAATCTTCTGAATCTATTTGTTTTTACTAGTAGGAAGTTGAATGAATTCTAAAAAAGATTGAGTGATAGGTTAATGAACTCAAACAACTCTTCAGTATATTTAACCATTTATGAAAAAATTATTGAATTTGTATGATAACTTTATGATTGTGATTTGCAACTCTTGGTAGACTCATAAAGCAGTTAAAACACACATAATACATAATTTTGGAAGTTGTATGACCATTTAATAATGCTCTCACCAAGTTTTCCTTCATAAAAATTTTTTTATTACTTTTTCAATGAAAAGATTTGCATAAAATTTAGCCAATCATTTTGTTTTGATGTTTTTCTAGAATTACACAATTGGAAATCGAATCTGGAAAAATTGAAACACTTTTGTCGATCAATTCATAACAGGAGAGACTGGGGTGTTACAAATTATAATAAACACAAACATAGTTGAGCACACATATAAAAAATCATATGTGCGGATTTTTCGCCGATCAATATATGTAAATTTTTTCAATATGAAAATTCAAACTCTATCT